TCTACAAAATGATCCCGATAACATTTGCTTGGTATGTATTAATTTAATATAGTAATTCTGTAATTAATATACAGTATTTATAACTACATAAAGTATATTTTATGACAAAATACAATACCAATATTTATACTATTACTTAATATGACCATTGTGCTATTTAACACCATTACAATCATATTTCAATCACCTTTCATTAAATTCATTTGTCATAAACTTTTCAATCTTTGATAACTATTTTCCTAAACTATAGATCGATTCGACATCACAGAGGAAATGGAGTAGAAGTGAAGTATTGGATTCGTGTCTCAATTTCGCGTATTTTCTCGTAAATGACTGCAAACTCACAAAAGGAGATATCGTTTGCTTCGTCACCAATAATAACGACATTCACGGCATCGGTATTCTCGGGGTTCTGGCGGCCGGAGGTGTCTATTGTTCACTGCCTAAGGATTCGACTGAATGTACATAAGTTTTGCGAAAAATGTTTTAAATAATATTAAATTATAAATTATGTATTTTTAGATGAAATCAAACAAACGATGCGCACAATTAAAGCCAATATATTAATAGGCATTTCAGACAACTTTATGTTATTGACTAAAATGAGATCACAATTTGATTGCATAAAAGTAAGGGTTGATAATAATTGTTATAAAATGTTTTAAAAACAGTTTATATTATTAATACAATGTTTGCTTTATATTTACTTACATTTAAATACAATTATAAAAATTAATCTAAAATGACTAGAAACAGTCATATGAACCTAGTTACTTTAAAAATAACATTAAATATGAAGTATCGAACTTTTCATATATTATATTATCTTTTTAGAAAGTATTGGTTTTCAATGAAATAACTAAAACTCAACTCAACCTCAACTGTCCAACCGTGGAGTCGGCGCTACAATCGGTGCGTTTGGATGACACGGACCTCCCGGTGCGCACCGGTCTCGACGATACGGCAACACTGGTTATGAGCAGTGGTTCGACGGGAACTCCGAAAGCTATTATACGAACAAATCGTAATCTATTGGCTATTATGGCGATAACACAACACCCGGAGGTATGTCCGCTCACGAGCGCCGACATCATGTTCTCGTCAGACTTTTATCATGTCTGCGGTCAGCGAAGCCTACTGTCCACCATACATGCCGGCGCTCAGTTAGCCATTTGCGAGGATATTCATAATAGCGAGAAAAATTTAAAATGCATACATGACCTGAATGTGACCACGGTGTTCACAGTGCCCACCGAATTGAATTTTATAATTAAATATAATGACAAATACGACAAAACTTATCTCAAAAGTCTGAGAGACGTGTTGAGTGGCGGCGCTGTCCTCACAGGGAATACCTATCGGAAAGTTTGCCAATTGTATGATTTTCAACATTTCAGAAACCGTTAGTTTAATATTGTTTTAATTTCATTTATACGGACATTAATAGCTTGTTTAATTTCATAGCAATACATACTCATAAACAATAATATGAGTGAATTTGTATATTTATAATGTGGCATATAATTGAACATTTTTTTTCATATAGACTATGGTTTGTCAGAGTGTGGTTGGGTGACCAATGTCTATTTGAGTGACAGTAAAACGATTACCAATTATGAAACCATTGGGAAAGTGAACCCCGGAATTGAGATCAAGATTATAGACAGTGAGGGCCAGTCATTACCCAGGGATACAACCGGACAGATATGTATCCGTGGAGATAATGTACGTGTAAATTGTTATAATTATCATTATAATTATGAGTAATAAAGTATTGTATCATGTTATGTGCTATCTATATTGTCATATTAGGTGACCCCTGGATACCTTGGTTATTCCGGTGATTTCAAAGCGGAACACCTAACTAGTGATGGCTTTTTCAAGACCGGAGACCTGGGATATTATGACTCAAATGATTATTTCTATTTTGTTGGCCGCAGTAAAGATATCATCAAATATAACAGTTTTGTTGAAAAACTTTTAATTATTTGAATAGAAATAATGTATTGATTTTGAAACGAAAGGTATACTCATATCTCCCGTGGAATTGGAGAATATTCTGGTGACACACGAGTCGGTTGTGAATGCGGCGGTCATTGGTGTCGATGACTCGGAGGACGGGGAGGTGCCCATGGGGTTTGTCACCGTCAGGGGTGGCCGTGCTGTTGGGGAACAGGAGCTCATTGATTACGTGAATAAACGGGTCAATAATATCAAGCAAATAAGAGGTGGAGTGAGAATTTTGAAGACTATGCCATTGACTTCTAGTGGCAAAATTAGCAAGGTTGCTTTGAGGCAAATGGTTAAAAATAACATAAATGGTATAAATGATAGAGTTTTAGGTTAAACAAGTTATGAATTTTTAAATAGTAACCCGTATCATTAACATTATATTGTAGTACAATAGTATACAATATTAAGTATAATATAATTTAATTAATCACAACATTATAAAAATTATAATCTATATGTTAATACAAGTTCTATATAATTGTCACCATACTGCTCGTAAACTATATGTTTAACAATTTTAAAATTTTTTAAACTTTTAATAAAATATAATAGATTATCATTAGATGATTATAAAAATATCAATGCAAGTGTAGTATTTTTTTAAGTATAAATATTTGTATTTTGAACTTAAAAGTGGCATTGAACTATAAAAAAATTAATTAAAATTTTTAATTAAATAATAAGCAATAAATACTGCAATATTATTATAAATTTAGTTCTAATTGAAAACATATTTGAGTTATTTTATATAAAATTACATTATGTTTACTTTATGTTTACGATTATTAGTATAAACATGATTTGTATTTATGAAAAATAAATTTATATTTTTTGATTGAGGTTTATGTTGTCACAAGTAAACATTTCAATAACAATAAGATTTACTTTTCAACTCACAATTTGCGACACAATTTGACCGATTATTGTCTTCGGTATTAT